GCACGGAATGAACTTTAGATCTTTGTTTGAAGGACGAGCTGTTTTATTTGAAGGACGGGCTGTTTTGTTTGGAGGACGGGCTGTTTTGTTCAACCCGTCCTCGACTCTAGTCCATTACAACCACCGGCCGACCCCACAGACGCATTCATAAATTTTAACATGCTGTTCATTCAAAACGGGAATTTTCGCAGGTATAAATTAATATTATAATATGTTAGCATATTGTGTATATATAGGCATAGGAGAGGTTAGGTTAGGTGTTTAGGTTCTGTTGGCGATTATTTGTATTTGTAGTACGTGGGTGAAGCATTTACAGCGTTGTGGTTCGAACAAAATTCGTCAGTGAAGCACTTGTTCCGGATATGTTTGAACGCCAGCAGTTGTGAGTCGTGTGTAAACCGCTTTTCATTCATAAATAGGGGGTTTGGCGAGTGCATGGAATCACTTTTGGATCTTTGTTTGGAGGACGGGCTGGTTTATGAATGAAAAATGGTTTATACACGACTCACAACTAATTTCGTTCGAACACTTCTGGAACAAGTGCTTCACTGACGAATTTTGTTCGAACCACAACTCTATAAATACTTCTCCCACGTACTACAAACACAAATAATCGCCATCAGAACCTGAACTCTTAACCTAACGTAATGTAACCTATTCCTGTAAATGCACAATATGCTAATATAATATTAATTTATATTTGAGAAAATTTTCGTTTTGAATGAACAGCATTTAAAAATATATGAATGCGTCTGTGGGGGTCGACCGCTGGATGTTATGGACTTGAGTCGAGGACGGGTTGCCTTCAAACAAAACCAGCCCTTCCTCCAAACAAAGATCCAAAAGTGATTCCATGCACCCGCCAAACCCCCTGTTTATGAATGAAAAGCGGTTTACACACGACTCAACTGCTGACGTTCGAACACTTCTGGAACATGTGCTTCACTGACGAATTTTGTTCGAACCACAACGCTGTAAATGCTTCACCCACGTACTACAAATACAAATAATCGCCAACAGAACCTCAACACCTAACCTAACCTCTCCTATGCTATATATACACAATATGCTAATATATTATAATATTAATTCATACTTGAGAAAATTCCCATTTTGAATGAGCAGCATGTTAAAATTTATGAATGCGTCTGTGGGTTTGACCGCTGGATGTAATGGACTTGAGTCGAGGACGGGTTGCATAAACAGGGGGTTTGGCGAGTGTAAGGAATCACTTTTGGGTCTTTGTTTGGAGGACGGGCTGCAGTGAAGGCTGTGGCCGTCGTAAGGGTGTGTACCGACGTCCTGGGAATCAACATTTTCGCGTGTGAACAGTGAATTTGCCTGCGCTTATACGGTTGGGTATCTCAACATCGGTCACTGTAGCTGAGTACGTCAATATTGGTCACACACAATTTGATAATGGTCTATGACGTCGTTTCTTCTTTGTCTGATGTGTGGTTTGGTTATCATTGGAACTGGGCACCTCAGCATTGCATGCTGAGGTGAACACTCTGGATTCCCAAAATTCATCCGGTGAATATATATATATATATATATATATATATATATATATATATATATATATATATATATATATATACACTCCAAAGATATACCTCCCAAGAGCATAGAGCAAGTGAGGGGTCATTTTTAAAGGGGGAACACTGGTATGCTTAAGGCACAACTCTCCTAAACACGAGAGTGAAGTATACAACTTTAGAACACTTTCCCACCAGGAGACTCGAACCCTAGCCAGCACAGAAGCCTTCCAGCAACTGGCATAACAGGTACGCCTTAACCCACTCCACCACCTGCTCAGACCCTTAAAAGAGATGGTAATTTCAGAGTATTTAACACTCTTACGTATTCAGAGTTAAATGGCAAGTTTTTCCCTGAATGCTGGCTGTGTTCCCTTCTCTCCAAAGATATACCACCTCCCAAGGCTGTGGGTCCCTATAAATGCACCAGAGTATTTATACACTCCAAAGTGGGCTCTTGGGAGGTGGTATATCTTTGGAGTGTATAAATACTCTGAAATTACCATCTCTTTTAAGGGTCTGAGCAGTGTGGTGGAGTGGGTTAAGGCGTACCTGTTATGCCAGTTGCTGGAAGGCTTCTGTGCTGGCTAGGGTTCGAGTCTCCCCTTCACTCTCGTGTTTAGGAGAGTTGTGCCTTTAGACACAGTGTTCTCCCATATTAACAGGGACTGGATGAAAAAACGTAAAAAATACCCTCACTTGCTCTAGTGCTCTTATATATATATATATATATATATATATATATATATATAGTCTCCTGGTGGGAAATATATATATATATATATATATGGGAGGTGGTATATCTTTGGAGTGTATAAATACTCTGAATTACCATCTCTTTAAGGGTCTGAGCAGGTGGTATATATAATATATATAGTGGGTTAAGGCGTACCTGTTATGCCAGTTGCTGGAAGGCTTCTGTGTGGTAGGGTTCGAGTCTCCTGGTGGGAAAGTGTTCTAAAGTTGTATATATATTATATATATATATATATATATATATATATATATATATATATATATAACATATATATATTATATATATATATATATTATATATATAATATATATATATATATATATTTTATTAAATATATATTAATATATATATTATGCTTATATAAATCAAAAATCACTTCTCCAAAATTCATTTTTATTTCTAGTCTGACGCGACACGGGCGCGTTTCGTAAAACTTATTACATTTTCAAAGACTTCACAAATACACAACTGATTAGAACTTGCGTTTCCTGATATATCTACATTTGAGTGAGGTGGGAAGGGTGATGTGGCATTACATTTGAGTAAGGTGGGAAGGATTTTACAATTCAAGTATTGGACATAAATAGGCAGGAGAGAATGGTGGAGTGACTTATATATATATATATATATATATATATATATATATATATATATATATATATATATATATATATATATATATATATATATATATAGTGATTTTCAATTCAAGTATTGGACATAAATAGGCAGGAGAGAATGGTGGAGTGAGGTGAGGTACAATAACAAATGAATGGGAATTAGGTGGTCACAAACATGAGCCGCACAAGAAATGCTGAAGACCTATTGGCCCATACGATGCAGTTCCTATCCATACCCACCAACAGGCCACATATGGATTATAATAGCATAAGATAGTAAATATTTACAATGAATTAGTGAGACAAATGTGTTCCAATGATCCTACTCAAATCGCCCTTTAATTGATCTATCAAAAATGAATCTAAGTTATATAAACCACTGCTAATGGTCAAATTACTTTCTTTTGTAATCTGTATCAAAGCAGATTCAATTATGGTTCTGTTATAAGTGCTTTTAAAATTCGTTATTGAAGAAGCCATCTCCCAATCAATTTGGTGAGCATCTTCTGACAGATGAACAAACAAAGCATTAGACAATTGGCCATGTCTTACAGAGTATTTATGTTGCGATATTCTATATTTCAAATCTTTAGATGTTTGCCCAACATAGAACTTATTATAGTCTTTACAAGGTATTTTATAAATGACACAATTATCACTACGAGGGCTGTTCCTAACTAATAGCTTACCAACAGTATTTTCGTAGCTAAACAATACATGTATATTAAAAAGTTTCAAGGCATTGACAATATTCTCAAACCCAGAGAAATATGGTAAACACAACACATTCTTTGGGCGAATTCTTTCACTGCATATATTATTATAATATGTACGACGTGCTTTGTTACGGCAAACTTCCAAAAAACTCAGTGGATAACAAAGCTTAAGACCAATAGAATCAATATTCTTAAACTCTTCGTCTAAGAATTCTGGACTCACAACTCAAAGAGCTCTTAGGTACATTGAAGAAAAATTTGACTTTTTCACATTGTATCTATGCCCTAAAAAATAATGAACATAAGATAAGTTATTCGTAGGTTTTCTGTAGACACTAAACTTTACTGAAAAATCTTCCCTATGAATAAGAACATCTAGGAATGGCAAACATTTATCAATTTCAGTCTCCATAATAAATTTTATAGAGGTGACTTGATCATTAAGTTTGGCTACAAATTCGTCTGTGTTTACATCTGAAGGCCGTATACACAAAATATCATCAACATATCTAAACCATGGAATGATTCCAGGGGTTATTTTTGAAAGAAATTTCTTTTCGAAGAATTCCATGTACAGCAATGGCGATAAAGGATTCCCCATTGCCATTCCAAAAGTCTGTAAATAATATTCATTATTAAAGGTAAATTTATCTCCATTGCTCTCAAACTTGAACATGGAATTCTTGTACAGAGACATTAAAAGAATTTTTCAGTGACAGAGGAGTTAACAAATGGAATGCATTAATTAGTGATGTGGTGGAGGCTGACTCTATACACAGTTTCAAATGTAGATTTGATAGAGCCCAATAGGCTCAGAAATCTGTACACCAGTCGATTGACAGTTGAGAGGCAGGACCAAAGAGCCAGAGCTCAACCGCCACAAGTACAACTAGATGAGTACAACTAGGGAAGTACATACACACATGCGTGAATGCTAGGTATACCTAGTTCTCTTCGCATCACTGTTAACGAATTATAAAGCTCGAGTATTTATTGGTCACCCAAATAAAATTCTGAGGCCTAAATTAAGCATTTGTCTTGTTTAGATCTTTGTTGTGATAGCCTATGTAAACAAACAAGGATGGTTCATATATTATTACTTATTAAGACCCTATTTAAACCCTGCATATAATTTTAGCGATTTTAATATTTGCTAGTGTGGTAGCAAATTTACATTTTTACATAAATGTCTGACTCTACATTTTTAATGTGCTGACAAACATTTTACTTTTTTGTGATTTTCTTTCACCGTCAATCACAAAACCCAAGCAACAGCTGGGGTAGTTAAGGTAATTATCAAGAAAAATCGATTATCTGACATCATAAATACGCTTGTATCCCATCAATCAGTATAAAAGAAAACCTGCGATACACAACAAAGCCTTTTATTTCATAAGCATGAAACTCGATGCTAGAAACCCATGGCAAGTGGATCCACAGAGGATTCCATGAGTACAATAGTCATTTTCGTCAATTCTACTCTTTACAATATTGTATCCTAACTTAACGAAGATAAGAACATCTTGTTTTATATATACTCTCAGGGCAGTATGTCCCTCTTGACCTCATCAATTGACTTCTTAGGAATCTTTCTGGATAATACTGTATAGAGGCTGTTCCTGGCCAGTAGTAAGAGTGCTTAGTGGACGCAGTAATATTATAAATCTAGTAACCAAACACATACAGTAATACATAACAAGGTTATATATATACTATGTATATATATATATGTGGGGGCGCTGCCCCAGGCAAGCGAGAGGATATTGGGTTGTTTCTTTCCCTCTGCTGGTACCTTCGCTCACCAACAACGTTGACACACACCTGGAAGTGAATGGTTTGTATCCAGAATTACCGTTTAAAACTATCATTGACATGAAAATAGAGACTCACATGAACCGGGGAACACGAAGCGAACACTTGTACATAGATACGTGTGTGAAGAAAGCTTTCATACATTCTCTTGTGAGACGAGGTGTGAGGGAAGACCTGATTAAAGGACACAAAAGGGTTGGGGGTAATCCAACGATGAACATCATGGATTATGAGATATATAAAAGGGCATTAAATTCAGCCACCCAGGGAATCAGATTAGCCTAAAGAAATTTGGAAAGAAAACTTGTTCAAAACATAAAGGAATATCCAAAATCATTATATTTATATATACGTAGTAAAACCAAAACAAAGGACTCTGTAGGACTCATAAAAGATGACACTAACCAAGTTATGTTGGATGATAGAAGGGCAGCAAACACTCTGAATGAATACATTACATCAGTGTTCACTAGAAATATTGAACGACATCCCATCACCCACACAAATGTTTGAATGACGTGAAGAGAATGACTTATTAAAGAATATACCCATTACATGCAACACATCATTACATGCATTGACAAACTAAAAGACTGAAAAGCCAAAGGTGTGGATGGATTTTATTCCAAAGTCGTAAAGGAACTGTCAAATGCAATATGCATACCACTGAAACTACTTCTCAGAAATCCCTGGACCAAGGAATAGTTCCCCTGGATTTGAAATATGCAAATGTTACGGTCATTTAAAAAAAAGGGCAGAAAGAGCTCAGTAGAAAACTGCGGTCTGGTCAGCTTGACATCACACATCTGCAAGCTCATGGAGAGAATCCTAAGGGAATGTATCATACATCATCTCACAGAGAACTATCTTGTAAAATCAACGCAACATGGATTTGTTAAAAATAGATCCTGCATTCTAACCTGCTCACATTTATGGAAACGGTAATCGGCTATTCAGAAAAAGGACTTTCGGTAGATGTAGCTTACATGGACTTTACTAAAGATTTTGACAAGGTACCACATGAGAGACTGGCAAGGAAATTACAGGCACATTGAATAAATGGGAAAATACTGGAATGGATGAAACAATTGTTAAAACATGGAAAACAAAGGGTCGTGTTAAATGGGAATGAATCTGACTGGGGGGGAAATGTGCTAAGTTAGATCCCACAGGGGTCCATTTCGGGGTCAACCCTTTTTGTTATATACATCATTGACATAGATGAGAACATTACAAACCACATTATCAAATTTGCAGATGACACTAAGATCTATGGTAAAGTGAGAGGTGAAAATTATATCGAGACTTTACAAAGAGATCTGCATGAACTCCACAAATAGTCAGATAACTGGCAAATGCTCTTTAATGTCGATAAATGCAAGACCTTGCATGGGGGAGGGGGGGCGCATAACAATCCACGTCACAACTACCAAATTGGCAACACTACCTTACAACAGATAGATGAAGAAAAGGACCTTGGTATCAGAATCCAGCATTCACTAAAAGTTGCACAAGTGGGAGTGGCAGTAAAAAAAGCGAACCAAACCCTGGGAATAATCAAGCGTACCTTTGCCTTCAAGAAAAAGAAAGTAGTCGTTGAACTGTATATGTCTCTGGTGCGCCCACACCTGGATTATTACATCCAGGCATGGAGACCTCATCTCCAGAAAGACATAGCTGCTCTGGAGAAGCTGCAACACCGGGCAACAAAAATCATACCAGAGTTTAGTCATCTCTCGTATCTGGAACGGTTGAGGGCCACAGGGCTAACAACACTGCAGACCAGGCATGACAGGGTGGATCTAATAAAAACCTTCAGAATACTAAATAATTTTGACGATGTCGATCCGGACACTTTCTTCAAAAGGTCAGATGTAACACGGACGAGGAGCAATGGGTTCAAGCTCAACAAACCACAATGTAGGACAGAAAACAGGAGATGCTTTTTCACCCATAGGGTTGTAAACCCGTGGAACCGCCTTCCTGCCGAAGCCCTAAACGCCAAAACTCTGCTGGGTTTTAAAATACAGATGGTAAATATCATCCGGGCAATTGGGGAAAACTTTGACAAGCTGCCAGCTTCCTGTCCTCGTCGAGGCCACTAAGGCCCTCAGGTAAATTCAGGTAAATAACGAGGGTGATAGCAGTAGTGTTAGCACACAGTACACCCTGGAAAAATGAATATAAATTGGATAAGTTTAACAAACAAGAAGTAGGAACAAACTCTACCATGTAAGACAATAGGCTCGAGGTCGCTAGATTACTTCAAGCGAAGATTAGACATGCATGGATGAGTTTGGTTGAGAATAAATAGATGCTGCCTCACATGGGCCAATTGGCCTACACTAGAATAACAGGTCAAGGTAGTACTGTGGGGATCGTTCTCGACGCACAATCGAGAATTCCGGGTTCGATTCCCGGACGGGACAGAAATGGTTGGGCACATTTCCTTTCACATAATGCATATGTTCACTTAGCAGCAAGTAGGTACTCAGGAGTTAGTCAGCTTGTTGAGGGGGGATGCATCCTGGGCGGGGTCAGTAATTCTACCTTGGGGGAGTGGGGGAATTAAAATTCATTCACAGTAAATTAAAAAAATTCTATTAATTATGCATATTAAAACAGATGAACATAAGCAGACATTCACACACACACACACTTTCCAATAACAAAGATGGTGTTTCGGTGATAATGTTAATTCAACTTGTGTATAAACAAAAGTTAAACAAGAAAAGCTAAATATATAAAACCAAGTGCTTATGCCAGTGTGACTCTCAAGCACTGCCTCCTACCTAGCCCACCCTGCAGAATCTATAACTCAAAAGATACAGACCTCATTTAAGATTTAGTGCGTGCTGCGTGTTATTCCATGGCTGAACCTCGGCTGACATGAGGATCATGTAGACGGTGGTAGTGAAGATGTTGAGGGCGCCAGCCACAATAAACACTGTGTTCCACCCACTCAGAGTTTGCTGCCGGGGCCGATGGCCGAACACCAGTCGAAAAGCAAAAATAACATTTAAAAACACCTCTGAGTAATAACACCACATACCCCCTATGATGGGGCTGTTCTCATAGAGACCTTGAAAATACTAAACAAATTGGAAGATATTAATTCAGAATACTTCTTTAATAGTTTAAATAAAACGCACACAAGGGACAACAGCTTCAAGCTCCGCTAGCTGCAATGTAGGACAGAAAACGGGAGATCTTTCTGCTAATTGGCTAATAAACTCCCGGAACCGCCTATTTTAGAAATTCTGTCACTAAATACTAACTCCTAGCATACAAAACAAATGATATTATGATAGGCAAATATTAACAATAAGTAATCCTAAATAGCTTAGAGAATCATTAAAATGAAATTCGGATGTTGTGGTTCCTCTAAGAAAATAGGACTATTGCAATGTCACTTGAATTTCAGTTCATTCATAATAGATAATTCATTAGATAATCTTTAAAATGCCAGTCTGTGGATCAAATTAAATAAAAAAGCGTAACCCCATGACTGGACATAATCAAATCGTAAATAAAACCAAGTATCTTTCCCGTTGTTGATAAAAAAACTGGAATAGAACTGTTCCAGAGGACACGTCCCCTGGAGCAGAGGGAAGGAGAGACGGCATTATAGAGACAAGCTTGCCCCAGTCAAGATATGTGCATCAACCCGTCCTCTTAAAAATAACGTCGCTTTTCGCTCGTATGTGCGCTATGGCCAAAAGTGGACGTAATTTGAAATGAAATCGACTCACAAAAGTGAGGTACTGTCCCGTTTTCTGTTTGAGTCGTCTGGCTTACTCGTTAAGATTAGAAGAGGAAACTTTCAATTAACGTTTTTCATAACGTTTTGAAACTTTATGAGAATTTCCTGTCCACCTAACCTACCAGAGGACCCTTAACTTACTGTTCTTGAAAAAAAATCCCAAATTTATTTTCATTTTTTTCATTTTCAAATTACATCCACTTTTGGCCATACGGGCAAACGGCCAAAAGCGACGTTATTTTTAAGAGGACAGGTTGGTGCATAAGCTAACAGAGAAACTTCCCACGATTCGCACCACAGAGTAACCAGAGAGTCTCTGATCATCAGTACAAACTCGCTAGTATTGGGAAGTATTATATTTCCAATTAACTAAACTAGTATATGTCAAAGTGGTCATTTATAAGTATATATAGTTATAATTGGTTATGATGCGGGGCAAGCCACTCACAACGGGTAAGCTTTGTTTAATCACTCTCCATATCATTTCCATATTATATGCCTCATATATTAATTCCAGTTTAATACTCTGTAATTATTCAGCAGGTGAATTCCAAGGGGAAGGAAAAATTTCTACACATTCCCTGGTGCAAGACGAGGCTTACCACATCGCCATTAAAGCCTCACCCACGAGTTTCAGCTTACACGACGGAGGTGTGTCCATTGCTTATTATCAGGTCACATTCCACATAACAGCTAAGGTGTACTTTGAATTATAACTAACCTTTGTAGATTAACTATTACTAACAAATTTGAGGCAATCGATTGATTTTGATTAGGGGGTTAATAAGTAAACCCTCAGGCTGTGAAGGGAAGATCCAAGCAGAACCACTATAGAATCATACAGTCCACTTTTATTAGAAATCAATCATTAATAAATAAACTAGAAATAATTTAATAGAATAATAATTCATTATTAAATAAATAAATAAATTCTTGCCTGGAGATTTTTCCCACCTTTTTTGGTTCTTCGTACCGGGATCTTCCTGATCCATAAATAATCAGTGTAATAAATAAATTAACAATAAATAGCAGTTAAAGTAAACTGGTATAATTCACCTAATGGCCGAAACTCGGGTAACCTCAGTTAGCGGTGCACGGAAGTGTTACTGCAAACAATTAACAAGCACCATCATTGTTCCAAGGACAGTAAACAAGGAGCACAAATACGTGCAAACAAATTAAGATCAACGATTAGAAAACTACTCAAACCCAGTGCTACGCATTTGCGAATTTATACATCAATTAAGTCAAGAGTTATATCTGCAGACTGTGGAGTCAAAATTAAAATCAACCCAATTCTGACTGTAATCACAGAATTATCAACTAGATTTGAGATCATTTTAATTTCACGAACAGCCACCAACAAAACAATAACATTCAATTAAATAATCGTAATTGAAACTACTGCTGCTAACACAATATTAACAGTAGCTCTTGATTAGTCTCATTACTCAACAAATAATTTACACTATTAAATATCACCAGAGATTGATGAGAGGCTATTAGACATATATATATTTCTCTAAAGTTTAGAGAGAAACATTCAACATAAAACAAAAAAACTAATAAAATATTGCACCTTTGTCCTTACTTCACAATATTATATTAATATACTTCATGCCAACCCGTATTAGGGTAGGGTACCAAACTTGTCTGGTGTTGAATTAAATATTGAGCAAACTAGCAATCATTTAAAATTGTGCAGACCCTAAATTGGGTTGGATAATTTACAACACGAGTTGTGTTGAACACATATTCTTATTTTACTTGTATTATATTACCATATACTATTACATTGTAATAATTATTATTATATTTATTATTATAATAAAAATAGAACTATTTAATAATTATTTCTCTTCCTTCTGCTGGGTCATGAAGGAAGCCAGCCTCGGGTGAAAGAGGGCTGTGAGAATCTCTGTCTGGAACCCGTAGATGCAGGGCTCAGACGTCCACCTACGGCAGGGCTCATGCAGCCTAAGCTCTGCTTCAGGAGGCTGGGGTCGTTCTTGCCCGTGCTGGGGTGGTTCTTCTCCGGCCCCGACCACAGCGGTCTCCGGGTTTGGGGTCCCTGTGCCTTCTATTACCAACCTCAAGGTAAACTCTGGAGCTGGAGCCCCAAAGAGCAGTTCGTTGTTGCTTTCAATCTCGTTCTGATAGTTCCTGCGATGGCACTGGAACCAATCGTATTGGTATTTGCCTTTCCATTGGAGGCTTTCTGTGCCGTGGAGAGGGGGAGAGACCTGCTGCTTGGGTAGCAGCTTCTCCTCCATATCGACCTACCCTAGCTTTGTACCCTGGATAGGCCACTCCAGACCAACAACCAGAGTACAACTCCATAGTCTTCTGAGACTGATGGATGCCTACTACTATATTCATCTATATATTAACTATAACTATTTCACCTTTGAGTGTTAAGAAGTGACAGTAATCCATCCGTTGGTGAAAAAGATGAGCTAGCTTTAGGTACTCCTATTAGTACCCCTACACTGATTACCACTCAAATCATTTGTGTGATATATATATATATATATATATATATATATATATATATATATATATATATATATATATATATATATATATATATATATATATATATATATATATACATTTATTATTTTTGTGCCAACCTCTATGTGAGGTATGATATAGCCTAGTGGCAGGATATTAACCCTAGGTTATTACTACTTAATATTGTTCATTTCTATGAACCAATACCATAGTTATCTTCACTTAAAAGCTATGGGATCATCCAAAATTAACAAATCAGCCACAATGGCTGAGCTACAGAGAAGAAAATGTGGCTTAGCAGTATATAAAGCTCTCCTGACAAGACTAGTCAATTAATGTGAGAATTTACCACATGAGTCTGTGGTTGAATGTGCCATGTTGGAAATCTCTATACGGGTGGCTGATAACAAATTGTATCGAATGAAAAGAATGATCGAGTCTTACAAAAATATGCCCCTTGACAGTGACATTGAAACTGTCATGAAGGAACACATCATGTCCGACCTAGACAAGTATGGAAATGAAATTCAAACCAGGTTGGATCACTTGTCCAGGAGGCTTGCACCAGAGCAAGCAACCAGTACATGAAATTAAATGGATGATATTAACGATGATCTGGATCAATATGAGGATAAATCTCAATACAGGTTAGATCCTTTCGTCAAGTCAATCACCGAGGACAAAGCCTCATCTACCACAGCTTCACCCAACACTACACAACCAGAAATTGAACTGACCTCAGTGAGTTTACCCACTATTTCTGGAGAATCTGAAAATTCAAAACCTGAGGTTACCAAATTATTGTGCCTCCAAGGTGAACCAAAGGGAGAAACTGAAGCTGAAGTAGAAAAGTTAAATTAAAATAGTGATAGCACTAATCGCCTAGTCTAGCTCCGTAGGAATAATGCTGACAAAGAAAAGGTTTTCATACTCCTAGTACGACAATTGCTGGTCTTACCCCAATCTGATCAAATCGCCGACTCATTACAAGTCTTCAGCTCGGAGATTGAGGCACTACTAAAAGCATTGAGCCTTATTGCTGAAATAACCACTGCTGAGTGAATGCCCAAAGTTGTCATCCAACGACAACTGCCCAATGATATCGTAGATGAGTTATGGTCACATCAACACAATACTGTCCTGACAAAGCAGGATATCTCGGAAGGTTTGCATTTTGTCCTAGATAGACGACAATCAAACAAGGAATTTACAGCCTACTCTAAACCTTCAGAAACAGTTCCAACATCAAATTCTTCAACTGACAAGCCTAAAACGAAAAAGTCAGTAGAGAACACCTACCTTGTGGTTACCTTGAGGTGCTTCCGGGGCTTAGCGTCCCCGCGGCCCGGTCGTCGACCAGGCCTCCTGGTTGCCGGACTGATCAACCAGGCTGTTGGACGCGGCTGCTCGCAGCCTGACGTACGAGTCACAGCCTGGTTGATCAGGTATCCTTTGGAGGTGCTTATCCAGTTCTCTCTTGAACACTGTGAGGGGTTTGCCAGTTATGCCCCTTATGTGTAGTGGAAGCATGTTGAACAGTCTCGGACCTCTGATGTTGATAGAGTTCTCTCTCAGAGTACCAATTGCACCTCTGTTTTTCAACGGGGGTATTCTGCACATCCTGCCATGTCTTCTGGTCTCATGTGATGTTATTTCTGTGTGCAGGTTTGGGACCAGCCCCTTGTTACGTACCCT